GGGGGGGGGGGGGGGCAGATTTCAAAACAGAATGCCACGAGCCAGGCACCTAAAACTCCGGTCAGTTATAGGAGAAGGGTGCGCAGCTTATTGGAACATGGTAGCTGTATCCCATTGTATTGCTACGGCGGTGGTCTCTCGATCAAGGTATTTAGTCTACTTCGGCTTAAGAGAGACCACGGAAACACTTGACTGCTTCAACTTCAACGCTCCGATAGCACGGGTGTGTGTATGTAGGCTGTTTGGTAAGTCAGAACGGTTTCTCAACACGAAGGCAACGCCGACAAGGACGACAACAGCCATGAACAACAATGACGGGACAACAACAGACACACCATCGGCGTCGGTCGTTCCCAGCAACACGGCAGAGAAAAACCGGACTAGCGGTGACTTGGGACCTCCCGCCCCCCCCCGAAAAAGAACCATCCGCACAGCATGTCATTCCATTCCCCGACGTGCAGCACGCCCCACGTCTATTCATCTTTCCTTTGTAGTCTCTGGAAGAAAGGACAGCTCGTTTTAGCGTGCACATGCAGAGGGCGTTCTAACCACCTCTTTGCTGTCGAATGGGAGGCGAAAGGGCAAGATGTGTGTGCATGCCATCATACCTTCTTCTACGAGATCTCCGACGAACTGCTTGGCCATCGACGCCACGGCGATGGTGGACGTCTCTTGCACCACTCCCCTACCCTGCCCACTCTCGATGCTCCGCACGAGGGTAGGGGCCGCCTGGTCCAGAATGAGCTACGGCGGGCGGGGGGGGGTCGACCAGCACGTGGGATGATGTGGGGGTGGGCGTACATCGGCTAGATCTCATGACGGTCGCGTTGAACGCGAAGAAAGCAGCAACGGCGAACAACGCACGAACATGTTGGTGTTCGTTGCTTGCCACTTCTCGTTGTCGTTGGAATAGGCAGGCAAACTTGTTGCTGCTGTTTGTCTTCACAGAAAAACGGCCATGACCTCGATGAGTACCTCTTGTTCCGCAACAAAACATCAAGAAACAAACGACGCCGCGTGGCTGCGAATGGCAACAACAAGCAACCGAACAAATGGAGCGGAGAACAGAGCAGCAATAATTGCCTCCTGTCCACTCACGACTAACAGCAGCGCGCAATCGACTTGAACAGTGGCATCACGGGGTACACGCGAATTCGCGCACAACTAAAAAGTGAACGATCACACACTGAGCCAAGCTCGGCGCGTGAGCCGCGGCGGCGGCGGGTGGGCTTACTTCGCGGATGGGGGCACGCTCGAATCGACTCCGCACCCAGGCCTTGTACCTCTGAAGCTGTTCCGGGTTGAGCTGATCCACGGGCACCTCGCCGGCCACGCTCTCAACAACCTTGTGGCGTTGGAGCGACACACACGGCATGCGGCCATTTTCGAAATTCGTTCTTCGCGTGGGTAGGCGTTGCTTCGTTCCTCTTGTAGGTGTGCAACACAATCGGGGTGCACGTGTGCACCCACACACACACCACATATGCAAAGGTACGGCGGTTTTTGAAACTGCGTTCTGCGCGTGTACGTTGTTCCCTTTAGGATTGGCTTGTTTTCATTGGTCAGCCGGACGTATGTGCATCCACACACGCACCACATGTGCATAAAAGGCGGTTTCGAAACTGCATTCTGCGCGTGTGCGTTTTTCGACCTTTAGGAACGGCTTATTTTCATTGGTCAGCCGGACGGAGAGCGCGGTCGGCGCGATCTGAAAAGAACCACGTGCACGCTTTCTCCGCGTTTGCGTTTGTCGGTGGTCTCTCTCCGCTGTCGATAATACCACTCGCTCTTTCGTCGTTTGAACGGCCAGGGGGTGGCTGGCGAGTTCGTTGCTGACGAACTAAAAATTCCCTCGTATGTACAACCTTAGGCTACGAAAGTCCGGCGTTGTGTATCACCTACTTATTGAGCCTTGACGATACGTTTTCGGAATCAAGCAACAAGTACGTGAGTACCACCGTAAGGTTGCGAGATACGGTACCCCCCGTTCAAGTAGACCGATCTTCAAAGCTCGCTTGCTCCTCAGCCAAGCTTGTGCCAACTCCAAAACATAGTGGTTTGGGGAAAACTTGTCGTCCGGGGCTTTCCGTAGACGTATCGGACTCTTTTCGCACCCACTTGTTTGTGGGGATTACGAGCATAGGTTGTCGGTCTACTCTGTAGGGTAGGTGCCATCTCTCGCATCCTTGCGGCAGATCCCGTTCGCGCTGCCGTCACAGCAGTTGTTTCTGTCGAGGGGCGTTGTCCTGCATCAGCGCCCACTATGCACACAGCAGAGCAAAGCGGCAGAGAACAAGAACCGCTCTTTCCAAGGCGCTTCCCATTTGCCTCGACGACCGCCGCATCCACTTTGTTGCGGGAATCAGCCTCATGGTGCTCACACAGCACTACTGCTATAGGTCGAAGGTATTAGTAGCACGGGGAGGGGGCGAGGGGGGCGAGGAAACAACCACCGGAAGTTTGAATTTTTGGGGAGGTCCGCAAACGTAGATTACCTCAATTCTACGCAGGCGTTCGGCAATACCGGGCCTGGCCCAAAAATAGCCTCACCGGTTATGAAAGCGTTTTCATCCGTGCAATCATGTGGCGTCCAGAGTGGGAATTGATCCACAGATTTTTGTCGTAGCACGGACCTCGTGGTGAAAATCGGCGCGCGCCGGCATGCACATGGGACCGACAATCCCAACGACATGAGCAAAAGAACACTCCGTGCGCAAATCATTGCACAGATCGGTTTTCGTTCAACAACCACAGGGAGCAGATCACGCTTTGCTCACCTGAAATTCTGCTCTGGTCGCTGCCCCCGCTGCTAGAGACCGCTTCCTTTTCAACGGGCTAGCACCGGCGGCATGCCTTGCAGCTGCCGCTGCTGCTTCGGGCGCCGCATCAGCAACAGCGGCGGGATTACCCGCCGAAGCTGTTGTTGGTTCAGCCGGTTGGGCTGGTTCAGGCCGCCGTCGCATCCCCAAGATATCTCCATCTCCGTCCATGCTTGTTGCTAAGCAGTGCGGGTGACGGTGCCTGTGTCTGTCTGTCCCTTGCTCCTCGTCTCCGTCGGCTCTGTTTTGTGCTGATGCTACTTTTGTCGCACAAGTCGACACCAGGTGGACACATGGATGTTGCTCCAGCCAACATACCCTATTGAGAGCCGCACGATGTTGCGGAGCCCCCGTCAACGCAAGCGCGGCGCGTTTATACCCAGTACTGGGGCGAAGAAGCGCGCACCAGTAAATAGAAAAGCCTGCAGAACCAAT